AGTAGTAGTAGTAGTAGCAGTAGTAGCAGTAGTAGTAGTAGTAGTAGTAGTAGTCGTAGTAGTCGTAGTAGTAGTAGTAGTAGCAGTACTAGCTGTAGTAGTAGTAGTAGTAGTAGTCGTCGTAGTAGTCGTAGTGGTAGCAGCAGCAGCAGCAGCAGTAGTCATCGTCGTCGTAGAGTACGAGAACTGGAACTGGCAGTCGTACCAGGACAAGGACTGGCACTAGCACTGCGACTAGAAATAACCATAACAGTGCTCGTGGTTGCAAACATGTTTCTGCGGGATATAGCATTAGCAATATACTCACATCATGACACAGCGACATCCGGAAGGTTCGGTTGTGTGGCGACTTTGGCACGAACATGTAGCAGCCTTCTCTTCTGGCATTCTGAGCTGCCCTAAACCCTAAACCCTAAACCCTAAAACCCTGCCCTAAAACCCTAAAACCCTAAAACCCTAAACCCTAAACCCTAAAACCCTAAAACCCTCAAACTGGCCTGAGTCGAAGGCCGTGTTGCACATGTTCTTGGGGTCTTGCGCGCTGATGACGCACTTGGGCCTCGGGCCGGTTGAGGTGTCGGGGCATTGGGTTTAGGGTTTACCTATGGGGCTTGCTATTGGGTTTAGGGTTTACCATGGAGTTTACTGTTGGGTTTTGGGTTTACCATAGGGTTTACAACTTGGGGTTGAGGGTTGTCTGGTCGCCGGTGATGCAGACAGCACGATGGCTTGCTTGTGCGTGTGTTTTAACACATGGTACCTCATCTATACTTGCAGTTCTTAGATGCCTGCATGAACACAGATCGTGTCTATTCGCATATATCATTAGCGCATATATCATTATACTCCTAAGTCTTGTAGCTGTACGAAATGTTCACTGCTATCGTTGCTGTTGTTCTTGCTTCCATGCTTCTCACCTTTACATTACCCACTGTTTTTCACGTGTTTTCACTATTTTCACCATTATTCAAACTGGAACGGTTAATGGATATATGTATGCTTACGGGCGAACGTGAAAACACTAAGCGGCGTTGGGTGATGGCTCAAGGTATACTCCAAACCAGCCCAAACACCTAAACTAAATCCTGCACCTTGATCCTCAAGCCCTATACGTGGAGGTTCATGCGTGGTTAGCAGTGGCATCGTGAGCCCCTTAATTCAATGTGGGTTAAAACTATAGTTACTCAACTTATAAACCCACCCATAGCCGTGAAACCCTAAACCCCAAACTCCTAGACCCCAAATCCTACTTATTAACGCACCTATAACTGCCCGTGAACCTCCAAGTAGAGACCTTCTGTCCTTCTGTCCGGGAAGCTCGCACCAGGCACCGCCACAGCTGTCGCACTTCCAGCGGCCCCCAGCACACTTGCTTTCGAAGTCTGCCTGAGGTAGGGCTTAAGTTTATATACATGTGTGTGCGTGTGTGGTATATAAAAAATACACATATGTGCATATGTACACATGTGCATACATATATTTGTGGTTGTCAAAATTAGGGTTTCCTCTGGGCTCCCAAACTATAGGGTGCCGCATGAAGAGTCATCTAGGGTTCCCCCAAAGGGACCCTAACTTAGAGAACACTAATATGTGTATATATAGATATGTATGTATGTATATATACTCATATTCATATTAGTATTCGTATTCGTATTTATATTCATATTCATATTTATATTTATGTTTATATTTATTTATATGAGAGAGGACCCTCTGGGGTCTGTTTAGCGCTTTTGTTTCGCTGGTATAAATGATATTTGAGTTAACTAAGCTAGTGTAAACAATTTAAATACAAACCCAGGGATGTTACATATTTTCACAGTTTAATAAGCTTGATTATTTTTTTGTTTTAATTATTTCAGTTATTTGTTTAAGAACCAAAATTTTAAAATAGATAGTAGTATTTTAGTATACAGAACCAGAAACACAGCGAATCAACTAGTTGAAATAATTAAAAGTAAAGAACTAAAATCAAAATGTTTTATTTTAATGCCACAGTCTGTACATGTTTAAAACATCTAAAATCCGGGGTATTGTCCTCATTTTACTTATTGTAATTCTTTCGCTTATGTTAACTATTTTAGTGATTTTAAATATTGTCCTTATTTAGGAACCCAAATTTCAACATAATTAAATTATTTAAGACAGAATGTTTTCATCATCACCATCTTCTTTCCCTCCATAATATAACTCCGTGGTTGTGATATGATTAGTTGTTGTTGTTCTTGTTGTTGTCGTGCTGTTGTTGCGTTGCTGTTGCTGAAAGGCGAAGTCCGACTGACACGACAGCATAGAATACAAGAACATGTCCAGACGACATCGCCTGCGATAGATCATACCCCAACCCTCCCCCAAACAAAACTACCCTGTCAATCTTCGAACCTTCTCGTCTTGTACCTGTCTTTCATCTTTTGTTTCTGCGGTTGTTGTTGTTGGTGTTGCTGGCCCCGGGTTTACAAAGGGCCCTGGGACTTGGAGTTGCTGTTAGGGTTGACAACGCTGGAAACGTACACTGGACGCGGGTTAACTGCTACTGGCTAGTGGTGCATTATGACCAACATTCATGCCGATATTCCGTTTGTTGCGATACTGACGGCTACTGCTTGTTCACATCTACGGTTGTTCCTTTTGCTCACTAATGGTTTCATCTATCTATGACTTCAAGAGTGACTTATTACTCGTGTGATTTTGTTCAGTATTATTACGAACACTGTGAGGATGATTGCTGCTGCTTGCACTGATGGCGGGTGTTACGTTTGTTCCTGATATTGCTGATGTTGTGGCTACTTTTGCCGTTTGCTGTTGTTGTTGGCTACAGTGCTTGTAAACGGGCTGGGACTTTGAAGTTGATGTTACAATTGGAACAAAGGAAGTGTACTCACACCAAAGGAACGACCAAGACCAACAGACACGGAAACATAGAATATACAAAGCTTCAAGTACAAGCATTGCAAACAACACACACACACAGACACACAACAAACGACGCTAGACAACACTCAACAAATTCAGGAAGGTAGTGTTTCACACAAGAACACAGCATCAACAGCAGCATCCAAGAATACTACGTAAGACCATAATGACCATTATCAACTTGTTAGATTACATACTATACCCGCCGGCTTGCTTGTGATTCGATCGATGCTTGTTGTTGCTAACAGTCCATGTCCGGGTACATGTAAGGTAACGAACGGAATATCATATAAGATATTGACACCTCAAGTATGCTTGCTGTACACCAGCCCAAGCTTCTGAAAGACATGGACATTCGAAATTAAACAATATATCACTGTCGGTCCAATGTACACACACACGCATATATAATGTGTATACCTATATTTATATATATATATATGTACATATATATATATATGGGGAGAGGGAGAGAGAGAGAGAGAGAGAGAGAGCGGTTTTAAAGGCTTCAGGGTCTAGGGGTTTGGGCTTGAGAGGGTTCTACGGTGTAGGGCTTTGCGGTTTAGGGCTTAGGGTTTACGGGTTAGAGCGCAGGTTTGAGTGGATGCCAACCCGAGGCAAAGCATGCAAGATGTGTGCCGTCCCGAAGTCACGGACCGTAGAATACGTAAAGCTCATACCGACAGGGTCCTCAGACAGTTGGGGCTACGAGACTTTGAGGTTCATGGTTGCAGGATTCAGCGCTGAAGGGGTCTCAGCGACCTACATGCGGACAAGTTGCAATGGCAGCAGGGAAGCAGGTGCCACAAATGTCATCCACGCTGGCACCACTGTAGCAGCACACCCCTCCAACCTTATCCTCCCACTCTGCTTGCAGCTTGATGTGCGTCTCATTGGGGACTGCTGGAGCCGGCTCAGGCGTTGGCTTGGTGTCGACGGTTTCGGTGGTCTCGGTGGTCTCGGTGGTGTTGCTGGCATCCACCGGCTTGCTGAAGTTGTCCGCCGTTGTTTCAGACCCTGGGGCCGTCTCTGGCGCCTCCGTCTTGGTTTCGATGGTAGCGTTCACGTCGGAAGGCTTACTGAAGTTGTCCTCCGTTCCCTCAGAGCCCTGGGTCGTTTCTTGTACCACCGGTGCCTCTGCCGTGGCCTCCTCTGTGGCATTCGCCTCAGGCTTGCTGAAAGTGTCCGCCGTCTCCTCAGCCCCTGGGGCCGTTTCTGGAGCCTCGGTCATCGTTTCGACCACTTTGACGGGTTTGTCTTCGCCCATCGCAAATCCTCCACGGGCCAGGCTTCTGGGCTTAGAGTACTCTCTGCGCGCGCACGTGTGTGTGTGTGTGTGTGTAGATGTATATGTACGTGTATATGGATGCGTGTACAAATACATACAAACATATGCATATATGTAACTACATGTAGATGCACATGTATATGTATAAGGGCACGCGTATGTACATGTGCTGGCAACGAACATGTATGCGTGCATGCAGGTCTGCATGTATGAATGAATGAATGAATGAATGATTGTATGTATGTATGTATGTATGTATGTATGTATGATTGTATGTTTGTATATACACAGAAAGAAGAAAGTCTGTCGCTCCCTCTCTCTCTCACACACACACACTCTCTCTCTCTCTCTCTTTCCCTCTCTCTCTCTCTCTCTATATATATATATATTTATATGCAAATATGTATACAGACCTACATTTACATGTACATATATGTATGTATATATATATATCTTCTATGCAGTCATACATACATCCATACATGCATACATGCACACATACAGACGTACATGTACACATGTCGGCATGCATGCATGCCCGTGCGATTGTCTGTAGGCAGGCATGCATGTATGCCGCTGCACGCCTGCATGTCTGTAGCTATGTGTGCATGCAGTTCTGCGTGCACGTCTGGATGTGCGCGCATGTGTGTGTGTACATGTGTCTATACTCAAGTAATATGTAAGTAATGTATGTATTTATGTACATCTGTATGTAGACCGGAATGATTAGTGTTGCTCTGTTCTCACGATCATGGTGTGATGAATGTGGTAATGCGCTGCTGATGATGACAGATTGTGCCGACTGCCGTCAAGAAGCAAAGTATGGCCAGGGCGTGGCTGTGATTATGATGGTGGTAATGGTGCTGGCCTTGGTGATGATTGTGACAATGCTGCCTACCAGTAGCAACCGCCTATGATGCCTGTTCTCGCGGCTGCAGCCCACGGTGTCTAGGGCTACAGCTGCAAATCGTCACTCCAAGCTCGATTTGTCGCTTCTGTTAGCAGCACCCCGATAGAAAATTACACGAGGCTCTATCTCACCCTTTCCTCCAAATGCCCTTCGGCTGCCCCACTGCCCTCTCCTTCATGCTCCGCGATGTCAGACTCAAACTTCTGGCCTCGCAACTGACGAAAGGAAACGGCACATTCGCCCTCCTCGCAGTCGTCCGGCAAAGCCAAGCAAAGGCCGAGCAGGCCCAAAAGTAGTCGGGAATGGACCATGGTTAGGTCACCGCTCTTCACACAAGAGAAAATAGCAACGCTTTTTGTTGCGAGACTCGAGCCAGACAAGAGCCCAAGAGGAGGATGAGCACACTGATGCGATGTGCACCTGCCCGGCTACGTTGCTTTGGAAGTGGCCATCACCAACAACACGATCATTCTTCACCTGTACATGTAAGTACCAGCATCACCACCATCACCACTGTCATCGTCGACCTTATGGACACTCCTCCTATGACCATGCTTTTGTGGTGTGTCTTCTGCTGCACCCGTCCTAAAGGTCTCTGCCGGGCCAAGGACGGAGACGGATGAGGCCTTGATGCAAGATGTAAATCAACCAAATGCAACAATAACTGAGCACGGAGGGCTTCATTCAACAGGAACCCCGGCCCCTAAAAGTGAAAAGAGCATGGAGTGATCTCTTGATGATGCTTGTCTTGCTTCAGGGGGTAGGAAAAGGCCCGCGGATCACACGACTTGCCTCGGTTTGCCCACGCCCTACAACCAACGCCCTCGACTCAAGCGCCAAGCAGAAAGGAGGCATCAGTCGCACTATAGTGGCGACAGGCGTCAATGGCGTCAACCATCAACACATTGTGGCGAAATGTTCATAATTTTGTCGGTCCTTCGTTTTACCGCCTGGCAGGCATGCTGTCATCTCGCGATCTTCTGACAATTCTGAAATTGGCGCCCGCCGAAGACATCCGACTGCATGTCCACCGGAACGCCGAGTTTCAGGAACTGCCACCTAACTGCGTGGCCCACTGGTTCTCTGTAAAGGGGGCCGGTCCCAAAAAAGGCGCACCTTGTGAAGTTAGCTGCTGCTACACACAGATCCCGGATTCCCTGTCCCTAAGCCCTAAACCCTAAACCCTATACATGAACCCTAAACCCTCTCTCTCTCTCTCTCTATATCTATATATATATATATATATCTATATATATATACCCTAAACCCTAAACCCTACACCCTGAACCCTAAATCCTATAAGCCGTGACTCCCTGTCTCAGAACCAGTTGCAGCATCCATGTCCGGGTGGCGCACCCCTCAACCGGAGCTGGGCACTCGGGAGCTGCGGAAAGCGCAGCGTTTGGGTTTCAGGGTTTAGGGCTTGGGGTTCAGGGCTTAGGGTTCGGGGTTTAGGGTTCAGGGTTTAGGGTTCGGGGTTTAGAGGGGTTTAGGGTTCGGGGTTTAGGGTTCAGGGTTTAGGGTTCAGGGTGGTTCAGGGTTTAGGATAGCATTGAGTCTTGATGCGACACCTCAAGTTTTGAAGAACCTCCCGAGGTCGTGGTCGTTCGAAAGCCATGGGTCATCAAGTGCTGCAAGCGCTGGCAGATCTCCGCCAACAAGCAGACCGTCATCAGCCCAAAGATCACATATGACACAGCAGCTCCTCCGGGGGTCGTTCTGACAAGCTTGTAGGGTAAACATGCGACATCTGGTGTAGAACAACCCCGCATCTCATCCCCAGGGATGTCTTGTCTCAAACTTCTGTGATGCACAAAGACGTTGTCCCAGCTCACTCTTAGCGAAGTCTGGCACAACTCTACAGCCACGAGCACCTCTTGTGCTTCGAGATTCAGACTAAAGGCATCACATGATGCGAACTGGCCAGCTTTCTTGTTGGCATGGAGTCGGTACGAGCCTGTTTCGATGGTACTGAGTACTGACCACAATGACATAAGGCTTATAATCCAAGAACCATGACCGGAGGAAAAAGAACTTCACCAGAACGGGTTTGCGAGCACTGCTCGCAATATCAACAATCAAAGGGCTCTTCAAAAGTATTCGCGCGATGAAGGTGGTAGCTAAGAGTAAGCAGTCGTAACCTTTTTTTAGGGTTTAGGGGTTTATGGGTTTATGGTTAGTAACTTAGTAGACTGGTGATCATCATCATAGGGAGAAATCTCCCGTGTCTGGAACCCCAGAGCCGAACCACGACGAACACTGAAAGCCGCAGTGCTTACAACAGGGTTTGGGGGGATATCTTATCTTCAAATATCGGGACGATATGAGTGCCAATTCTTTAGACCCCGACCCGAAACCATCACCAAAACCCTAAACCCCTAAATCCTAAAGCCTCATATTGTCCCCGAATCCATAACCAACCCAGCCATGCGAAGGCCGGAATGGAGAAGCCCCACCTGGCCTACGTGGAACTATCAGGCTTCTGAGCCCAAGGACCAAAATCGAACCAAGAAGGGCGGTCTAAGCGGGCTGAAGCATGTGAGGCGAAAGTTCGCGTTCGCTTATAAGTTAAGGGGCTTCGGGTTCCTTCCGGTGGAATCTAGACTGAACGAACGATTTCGGTCCAAAGCTCCCGGTGCAAAAGCAGCACCACAAACAGAGCCGTCACTACTGCCACGCAGGCGCTGCTAGGTGAACTTCATCCCGTCTTCGCGGAGTGGGCTCAAGACATTGAAGGAGTTGAGGATTTAGGGCTTCAAGGTGTGTGGATGCAGGCTACTCGTATGTAAACGTACTATAGCCGGGTGACGAAGATGGGCAGCGACAAGCACCTGTTGTGCTCGAGCCTACCTCTTACATCACGCCGCCTAAGAACACGGGTTCAACTAAACCCTAAGCCCTAAACCCTAGGGTAGAGGGTTCACGAATCTCTACCCCTCCATTCCTCGGTTATCCTAACCCTCGATTTCTCGTCTAACTGCGGCAGGAATCAGAGGACATCAGCGATTCCTCACGCAAGCAACTTCATGTGAGGATCAGGGGCTTTGCCCAGGTACTGCAGGGGCCATACAAATTCAGTCAGGTTTAGGTTTAGCGTTTGGGGGTTTAGGGCTTTAAATGAGGGTTTAGGGTAGGGTTGTCAGGGCTGCTTTTGTAGTATAGTCAGGCTACGGAGCTCTGCGGAAGAAACCCTAAACCCTAAACCCTATAAACCCTGAACCTTAAACCCTAAACCCCCCTGATTTCTGGCAAAGAGAGGAGGCCACGTGGATCCCGGGCCAACTCGAACCTGCAGCTGCCCCCAGTTTAGGGTTTAGGGCCTGTAGGGTTTAGGGTTTATCGGGTTTATAGGGCTTATAGGGTTTATAGGGTTTTATAGGGGTTTAGGGTTTAAGTTTGGGGTGTCGAATTTCCTGCGACGCCCGCTTTGCACATCTGAACACAGAACCATGACATCAGCATGCTGGCATCGCATCGCATCAGATATGTCTATCTATCTATCTATATATATATATAACTGTGTCTATATATATATATATATGTATACATACTTTTTTCTTTTCTGAAGCCAGAAATGCCTAAACCTTAAAAGCCGCGAGGAACCGAGGCCCGGAAACAAACCCTCCACTGCTAAAGCCCTGGACCTTAAACCCGATGCCCTGAACCCGGCCCTAACCCCTAAACCCCCAAACCGGTTTAGGGCTTGATGGGGTTTAGGGTTTGGGGTTTAGGGTTTTGGGGTTAAACCCCCAAAACCCTAAACCCCAAAACCCCAAACCCCATCAAGCCCTAAACCACTAAACCCTCAACCGAAGAACCCAACGCTCAGGCCCCCACCACTAGCCTCAGGCACCAGCTGGGGGCTTGGAGCCTGTAAGGGGCGGCGCTTGGGGCTTTAAATTTAGGGTTTAGGGTTTATCGGGTTTAGGGATGAGGGGCTTAGGGGTTTATGGATGAGGGGTTTAGGGGCTTAGGGGCTTAGGGTTTAGGGTTTAGGGTTTAGGGATGAAGGTGGTATACTTGGAGGCTTGGGTAGCTAAACCCTAAACCCTGAACCCTAGACCCTAAACCCTGAAACCTAAACCTTTAACGGGTTCTGAAGAGAGTGCGGGCCAGCCTCGCCCTGAAACCTAAACCCTAAACCCTAAGCCATTATCCACATTAAGAGGCTTGTAACCGCGCTTAAACCACCCCATGACCCTCCAAGAAGGCGCTTTCTCTCACAAGAAGGGAAAGGCTCCCTTATGAGGGTGCCAGAAGGGATCTATAGGTTTTCATAGGGCTTTAAGTACTAATTGGAATTGGGTGTTGAAGTAGATTATAGTAATTTCACATACCCCTTCGAGTTGTGCCGTTAGGGAGTACAGGCTTAGGACTCCCCACTAGAAGCAGGGATATAGTAAACCTCAAACCCTATAAACCCTATAAGCCCTAAGCCCTATAAACCCTATAAGCCCTATAAACCCTATAAGCCCTAAACCCTATAAACCCTATAAGCCCTAAACTTAGTGCAATTCCGAGACCTCAGATCCTGAAGGTCTGGCCGGAAACGGTAACCTCTTGACTCCTGTGCACCACTGAAGCCACTCCAAACCAGGCCATTTAGGGTTCAGGATTTAGGGTTTAGGGTTTAGGGTTCAGGGTTTAGGGTTTAGAGTTTAGGGTTCAGGGTTTAGGGTTTATTCCACTCAAAAACAGTTTGTACCGCCCTTTCCAACAAGAGAAAGTTTGCAAACCCCATCTCATCTCATCGGCCTCCGAAGAGCTTTGGACCGCCCTTTCCAACAAAAGAAACTTGTAAACGCATTTCATCTCATCGGCCTCCGAAGAGCTTTGAGAAAAAGCCGCCGATGCCGGCGCCCGTGCCGCTCGCACTGGGCGCAGGCGCCGGCGGTGGACCTGAAAACTGCAGAGCTGGAGAGGATTGGGTTTAGAGTTTAGGGTTTGGGGCTTTAGGGTTTAGGGGTTTAGGGGATTACGGTTTAGGGTTTCTAAGGGTTTACAGGATTTAGGGGTTGCGAGGGGTTGAAAACTAGCCAAAGTTTAGGGTTTGGGATTGCGGGGTTCAGGATTTAGATTGAATGTTTGTGCGGTCCTACACTCTGGATTTCAGAGTTTAGTGTCTTGAGCGCAGAGCTTTGGGTGCAGGATTTATGTTTCAAGATTTCATCATGAGTGTCTTATTGCTTGGAAGTATTTCGGGGCTTAGAGATGCAGCATTCTGCACACAATCACACACCTACGCATGCTACGTTTTCAGCGAGCATGTGCGGACTGGCAGGATGCAGACACCTGCATAAAGCGCAATACC